TTGGTGCGGGATGTTTTCATAGAAGAGTAAATGCATAACCTTTCAGTGTGAGGTGCCCTCTTGAGACAGAGCTGTACAAGACAAAGACTTTGTACCCACGTCTCAAGGGACACTGTATTTCTCAAATTCAGTTTGACCTTTTGAGGTTTCATATTTTCATATGTAAGAGTAAACTCTTCCCAAAATACTCCAAAAATGCATTGTAGAATTGAGAGGGGGAGGTGATTTCAGGAGCGATGCAGGTGGCTACACAGGCTTTCTGTGGAGAGGGCTGGTAGTGGCTCTCAGCTCCCTCACCAGACTCCTCGGGAGGCGCTTCAGAAAGCACTGTTGTGTCAAAGCCACTGCTAAATAGAACGAGGGGGGTTGCTGTGCTGGCCCCTTCCTCCAGGGTTGGCAAGATGGGCTCCTCTCCTGCCAGGGTGGTAAACACATTGAAGTCAAGGTGCATCAGCAGGAAGTTGGGGGTCATTGAGTGAAAAGGGGCAGCAGTAGAATGTTCTGAAGCCAGAGGGCCATGTGTGTCTGTTACAGGCTCTTGCTCTCTGGCACTCCTCTTGTGGGGTGAACAGGTGTCTTAAAAGCCAGGGAGCAGGACCCTTTCCCAGCCCCCATGGTGATGTGAACATGGACGACTAGTGTCTGTCGCAGGCCTCAGAGCAACTCAGCTTCTCTAGGCCAGGGACAGCAGGGGAGAGAGGAGGACCAGCAGGCAGGGCCTCAGCACCCAGAGATGGGTTGAGATGAACGGGCCCGTGGGCACTCCATTCTGGGGATAGGAGGGCTTATCAAAACTATTTTATAGGGGCTGGGGCTGGGGCTCAGAGGTAGAGTGCTCGCCTAGCATGCGTGAGGCCCTGAGTTCCATCCTCAGCACCACATAAATATAAAATACAGATATTGTGTCCACCTGTAATTAAAAAATAAATATTAAAAAAACTATTTTCTAGTTTGACAGTAAAACAGCTCTCATTAAATGATATTCAAGCATGCTCGTAATTCAGAAAGTGTGTGGATAGTCTATTCAAGTATAGAATTTATTGGACACCCGCCATGTCCCAGTGTAGTTATAAGACTGGGCCCAAATCACAGAGCTGCTGAACTCCATGCCAGCCATGCAGAGGAATCACCGTGGACTCCTGATTTAAATTAGAGGACACAGAAACTCAGCATTAAATAAATTTCCCACAGGTACGCTCATGCGTCCCAGGACAGGAGTCAGATTCCTGGGGTCCTCTCTGTCGCCCTCAGTCTTCTGACAGCAAAAGGAAATTCTTAATCTAAATCAACAGTGACTGATGTAGTACTATAAGTACTAAGTCATTTGTAACACTATTACTTCACCTGTTTTGGATTTGTTTTTATAGTCCTGGGTGAACCCAGGGCCTCACACATGCTAGGCAAGCACTCTACCCCTGAGCACATCCCCAGCTCTGGACTTGAACTTGCCCTCCTGCCTCAGCCTCCCAAATAACTGAGATTACAGGAGTAGCCACTGCACCATGCCTAGTTCATCTTTGAAATTTTATTTGCTTATTTATTCTTTCTTTTAGAGACAGGGTCTCACTGAAGTGCTTAGGGTTGCAATAAGTTGCTGAGGCTGGCTTTGAGCTTTCAATCCTCCTGCCTCAGCCTCCCAAGCTGCTGGGATTACAGGTGTGGCCACAACACCCAGCTCATCTTTGACATTTTATAACTGCTGTTCTGTTATTTGTCAACTCTTTTTGGGGGGTGGGGTATCAGGGATTAGACTCAGGGGCACTCAATCACTGAGCCATGTCCCCAGCCCTATTTTGGATTTTATTAAGAGACGGGGTCTCACTGAGTTGCTTAGTTCCCCTCTTGCTGAGATCAGCTTTGAACTCCTGATCCTCCTGCGTCAGCCTCCCGAGCTGCTGGGATCACAGGTGTGCCCCACTATGCCTGGCTATTTGTCAATACTAATCTGTTGGCACTGGATCTGGCTCAATGAAAAACAGAATGGATTTCCAGCCTTCCCATCCCCCCTCCTCCCTGCTGCCCTCTGAACCTGCTTCTTTTCTGCTGCCTCTTGTCAAACAGGCACAGTCCTTGTGTCAGACAGGTAGACTCTGGGACTATAAGAACAACAATAATGGGCCTAGCTTTGATATTCTCAAGTCTCCATGGCCACCCAAGGGGCTTGAGCCCACCTGTTGCTATTGAAGGGTGGGCCCTGCAGGGCTGAGTCATCACTACTCCACCTTGTGCGCTGTGCATGCACGGCGCTCTCCTCATCTGCACAGGTGCCCCCGTCTGTAGGTGGACAAGTGCTCAGGAGGAAAGCAACAGACCACAGGTCTCTGCAGAATCGCAGCCAGCTACTCTGTCTTCACAGCTGCCCAGTCTCCACTGGTGATCTTTAGACTGTAAAATTGATGCTTTTAGGGAGATCATCTGGTTTTGCAAACACAGTATCACTTAATTTTCTTCCTCCCATAATCCTATGCAGTTCGAATGGGGCCAAGTTTCCATGCCAGCTGGTTATTGAGCATTCTGTTTCTAATCCTTGTTAGGTTCCGTGTGTGTGTGTGTGTGTGCGCGCGCGCACACGCACGGTCCTGGGGTTGAACCCAGGAGCATACCCCCAGCCCTTTTCTAAATTTTCCTTTGAATTGGGTGCAGTGGTAGATGTTTGTTATCCCAATGACTTGGTAGGCTGAGATAGGAGAATCAAAAGTTCAAGGTTAGCCTCAGCAACTTAGCAAGATCCTGTCTCAGAGGGGTTGGGGATGTGTCTCAGGGGTGAAACCACCCCTGGGTTTCATCCCCAGGACCAATTTTTTTTTTTTTTTTTTTTTACTTGGAGACATGTTCTCACTAAATTGTTGAGCCTGGCCTTGAATTTGTGATCCCTCTGTCTCAGCCTCCCAAGTTGCCAGGATCACAGGCATACCACTGGTCCTGGCCTTTCCAGATTTTTAAGGAACATTTCCTCTTTCCTCATAAGCCCAATATAACAAGGACATTTCTTAAAAGAAAGATGTTAAGACTTTATTCAAGCATTATAACAAAACAGCAAACGTCAGCTTTTGGAATACTGTCATTCACATCCCTTCGATGCACGGTCCAATCTCCAATGGTCCTATGGACACGGCAGGGAGCACAGTCGCTGTCCACAGCGCCTGCTCCTTGCGTGTCCGGCCACAGGGTGAAGCGCGTCCTCTGCCACTCAAGTGCTGTGCGAGGCCAGGGGAGGGCTTATGGCGGTGGTGTACACGCACTGCACAGACACGGACAACATCACAAAGGACCCACATAAAGGCCAGCAGGGCTGGGGAGGGGGGGTGTGGCGAGGCTCTGCTGAGGATGGAGAGCAGGAGATCCCGCTCACCTCGGAAGCAACAGGTGCTGGAGGCCAGCAGCTAACCGTCATGAAGGGGAAGTCAGACTTCCAAGCTAGTGTGTCCATAAGTCACGCACTGAAATCATCCGGTGGCATCTTCTAAACAGAACGCACTGCTGCTTGCACACTGATAGGCATTCGCATTCACACAGATACACAGCGTGGTGGGTGAGGAAACACGTTTGCCAAAAGCATGATGGCTGCTCCCAGGTGTGCGTGTGTGTCCCCAAGAGGCGACTCCCTAGTTGGCACCGGGAAAGCGCAGGGCACTCGGCAGCAGGTGCTTCCCATCTGTCTCTGACCGTGGACTGACTGCACAGCCTTCTACAAGGTGGGGTGCACCCTGCTGGTTCTGGCACACTTGATAGTCTGGACCTGTCCACCTTTCCATTGTAGAATCAAAAATACAGCATGACCCATTGTTAAAGCTATTGTTATTTTGGCAAAATAATAAAAAAAATTGGTAGAAAGCTGCCTCACTTGAGCTTTTTGCACTTGTTTCTGGTCACACCTAGTATGCCCAACTAAGTAAACACACTGTAAAGGGTACACCATTCCTCGTCTGGGACCACGCAGGGATTCTCTTCCCTAGCAGGTTCAGGAATTGGGGGGTGTGGGCCAGAGACCGAGAGCAGAGGCCTCTGACCTCTCAGCCACAAAACTACTTTTAGGTGGATTTTCGTAATTCCTTATAAACTTCAGAATCACCATCAGAGGCCCTGTGGGAAGGAGGGATTCCAGTGTGTATGTCTGGCCACAGTCAACTTGGACTAGACCCCTTTGCACGACAGCACCCTCGGCAGCCCGTGTGCAGGCCTTGGGTGGGTCTCTAACTGGGCCTGCTTGCAGCCGGGTTGACAGCTCTGAGTGACTTGGGACACTACTTCTCTAGCCTTGAGGGCGAGTCTAAGAACAAACACAATCCAATTGTATGAGACCTGCACGGTGGCCAAGGCATGCAAGACACAGGGACACCAACTCTAAGCACAAATACACTAGTCCTACGTTTTGGCTCAGCTCTGGGGTGGCAACTACCTCAGACCTACTGTCACTTCATCCAGGTGCTGCTCAAAATTCCAGTCTAAGCAGGGAGTTCCCTCAGAGCTGGACTGCCCTGGGAGAGGTCCTGGCTTGTGTGGAACCTCCAAGTTTGGCTCAGCTCACATCCCGCAGGTCAGGAAGGGAGCAGAAGGCGGAGCCACAGCTGCCCAGGGTTTCCAGCCCCCTTGGTGAGGTGTGTCCACCTGCTGGGGCGTATCTGAAACAGCACTTGTTTCTGCCTCTGTTCTCTGCAAGGTGCTCAGTGGAGGCTCCTCTGCCTGGGGAGATCAGCACTGATCACTACGAGGGAGAAACAGTACTTTGCCAAGCACTTTCGAGACCCTCGACATTCTTCAAGCAGCTCTGCAAAGTGCCCATGCCCAGGAAGACTGCCGAGTGAGCCCTACAAGCATTCTGCAGGCTGCCCAGACCCAGGCAGGAGTGGAGCTTCCTGTGGCCTCCCGCTGCCCGGGGGCTTTGCTGGGCTCTTCAGCCCCTGCCCTCCGAGCTGCCGCCTCACAACTGTGGCAAGAAGGAACCATCTTCCTTCAGGGTAGCTGGATTTGAAAGCTTTAAAAGCACATCAGAGACATGATCTAGAATTGATTTTTTTTTTAACAATTCTGTTTTTACAGTTTTCTCACTTATTGGAACCTCTGGCAGCCCTTGCAAGTTCATTATGTTAAGCCAAAGCCATAAATATGTTCATCAGAGTCCAAAGGAGTAGTACCAAGAGCAAAAAAAAAAAAAAAAGTTTTTAAAAAAATTGCTTTGTTTGTATTTACAGGACTAAAAACTAAGTCTGCAACAGATAAATTACAAGTGTACAACTCAGCAGCACAGGGGAGATCTCTGACGTTCTGAAAGCACACTGCTCTCTGTAGTGACCATCCAGTGGAGGGGACATACCGACCTCAGAAGGCATGACAGTCACCCCATTATCACCTTTCCCTTAGCTTCTCCCCAGCAAAACAAAGGAAGAAGAGAAGAAAAGGGGAGGGAAGAAAGAGAAATCCCGAGAGAGGCGAAGGGCGTGAGGCAAGGTGGAGTCCGCGCGTGGATCTGGATGGTGACCAGCTCTTTAAGGCAGAGGAGAGACGCTCTGTGGATCCGGTGCCGATGGCTCATCTCACTCACGTGGTTTCGGTGGCCGAGGACGAGGTACTCTTCTTCCTGAAGCGGGATCGCAGGAGTCTAGGCGGTGCCTGGCAGAGAGAACAGAACAGACACCTCTCCGTGTGGCACGAACGTGTGACCTCAGGATGGCACCAGGGCTGTGTGGGGACATCAGCAGGAGCGCGGCAGCAAGCAGAGGGGTCTTCCTGGGTCTCCACGCACCCCTTGAAGCAGAGCCTCCCACAGGGCTGCTCCATGGGCCCCTGTCCCTGGCTGCCTGGGGAACATTGTGCAGAGGGCACTGTCTCATTGTCCCCAGCAGTGATGCAGAGGAGAACTGCTCTGCCGCGTCTGCACTTCCTCCGCGCTGGCCTTGCATCCCCTGGCACAGCCTTGAGGGCCTAGTGCCCACTCAGGATGCAAAGCCATTGTGCTCCACAAACTACAGCTCACAGGCAAGTGAACTGCACCAAGGGTCCCCTCAGCCCACAGGGGACTCTCACGAGGCCCTCCTTCCATGGGACATAGGCCCCAGCTGCTGGGAAATGAACGGGAAGGCCTCTCCTGCAGAGCCCCTCAGCCCATGCCTGTGCATGTCCCAGGGAGGAGGGCTTTGTCCACTCTGTGTCCTCTCACACCTTCCGACTCGTCCCTGGGCACCACCTGGAAAGCCCCCTCTGCGGAGGCTTTCCCGAGCCCTCGCCACACACAAGCAGTCTGCCTCACTGCCTCTGGCCCACCGAGCTGCCCATGATGGCTCGTCACCTGAGTATGGGTGGAGGGCGTTCTGCTTCCTGGGGGCAGGCCCACATCCAGGTCAGTGCCTGGCGGTTGCTCCAAGGGAGGGAGTGGATGGACCAGAGCAGGCGTGGGCCCCCTCACCAGCCACCACTGGCCACAGGCCGGTAGGGGGTGACCCCGCTTCCTAACTCCAGCCTCTTGGAAGGTAAAGCAGGCGGTGAGGAGGCTGTGCGGCTTCAGAACCCAGGAACAGAGGGGCTTGGCCACCAGCCTGGGAGGCCGGGCCAGGTGGGGCTCCAGCCACTCCCAGCTCTTAAAAGACTGGCCCATGTGTGCCTCATCTCAGAAGGAACCTGGTGGACCCTGCAGGTGGGGGTGGTCCCAGCACGGCTCTGGGGTGACCAGGACACTTGGCCACTGTGCTAGGTGGGGACATAGCAACTCCTCCTCATCTCACTCTAGGGGTCTCCACTCTGGGGAGGGACTCCCACCCTGACCTCAGGATTCAGCAGATGGGGAACTGGAAAGGAGACTGAGGGGGCAGAGAGGATGTCTCTGGGGTCCCTGAGTCTGTTGGCCTTGCCCCTGAGACATGACTGGTGAGTCCCCACCAAGTCTCAGAGCAAGGCCCATGAGCTCCCGTGTGGCCCTCCTGCTGCGGACACCCGTCCACACCTGTGGACATGTTGGCCTTGCTAACTCTAAAGGGCTGTGCCCCGAGGCCATTTCATGACCAGCCTTTCTGCACCAGGTGCCTCGGTGTGCTGGAGATGACGAGAGAAGGCGCATCTGTAAAGACACCAAGCAGCGAGGTCTGGGCTCTCCTTTCCCCAAGACTCTCCAGGTCGATTTCCTCACACATCGCAGCTGGTGTCAAGGGAAAGGAGACCCCTTGCCTCCTCTCTGTCTCCCACTGCCCCAGCCTTGGCGCCTAGGTGGGTCCTGCCTATTCGCTGAAGGGAGATCTTGTCACCCGCTGCGGTGCTGGGTACCCCGAGAGGCCACTGCTGGGGCACCCAGGTCTCAAGAGCAAAGCGCCTGGGCAGACACACGCTCCAACCCGCAGCCCCTGATGCCGGTACCTCCAGGGGCGGATCCATCCTCTTTGGTGCTTTATACTTGTACATGAAATCCAGCAGGTCCTCCTCCTCGTCGTCAGAGAACGCCAGTGGGTTGTGGGCCTGGAGGGGCTCCCAGGCCTTCACACCACCCTCGTCCACATCTCCCTCAACCACTGAATGTGCATGTACAGTCTACACGAGGAGAGAGGGCGCAGGAGGCATCAGCGAGGAAGGGGCTGGCAGGGTGGGGTTAGGCTCCACCACACGCCAGGCCTGTTAGGACAGCTGCAGCCCGTGTTTAGGAGGCACCAAGGACTTGGGGCCTCCCTGAAGGGCCAGGGCTGTGAGAGGACGATGGCAAGGCACTGGGCTCAGGGCAACCCACGCTCAGCCCACACCAGCCAAGGAGGTGGGCATGCTGCGTCCCCGTGGTCCAGACCTGCGGCTGTCCCAGCTGGCCAGGGAAGGCTGTGCTCTAGACAGGACAGATGGGTGACGCACGGGGACCCAGCTACCTACGTCACACGTGCAACCGTGACGGCACTGCATTGCACTTGGGTGGCCAGCTCCGCACTCTTACAGACAGGAGGCAGCACCCTGGAAGCCATAGTGATGACCCACATAGACCCTCACTTCCAAGGCCCCCGCCCTGGAAAGCAAAGGAGCCCAGGAAGAGTCTGAACGTAGCCGCTTTGGAAAAACAAGACAGCAAGGGTCCTATTTCAGGCTGCCCTGAAGAACCCACAGGAGGCCCGCAGAGTCTGCCCACGACCTGCCTTGAGATGTAAGCTGTCCCTGCCCGCCCAGCTCATCTGATGTCCACAGTCTCGGCCTCCTATGCCTCACACACTGCCTTAGCCAGTCACAGAAGGCCCCTCGCCTACCTCACCCATCTCGTCCAACCACCCTTCTGTCTGCAGATGGAAACCTGAGCTCCTCCTAGGACACCTGATACTGCTCCAAAAAAAAAAAAAAAAAAAAAAAAAGTTCAGCCAACAAGTCCACTGTTTCCACAAAGGGGACTGGCTGCAGAGGGGCCCAGGGGCCCAGCAAAGCAACACTACCTCATCTTGGACAGCCTCTTCCGTTCTGCTGCCCTTCTCCGTGGCAGCCTGCGGGGGTGGGGGGTGGGCAGCTCCAGAGCACGGCTGCCTTGGGGAGGGATCTGCCCACGCTGCACCTCAGGGAGGGCCTGAGGCATCCATCTCCCATGCGCGGTTCAGTCTGTGCCTCCCTCAGCCTGTCTACCCTGCGTTTAGGCTGTTCTCGGGTCCTTTCCCTGCCCAAGTCCAGCCAGACTCAGGACCTTAAACACCCACGATCTCACAGGCCTCTGGGAAGACTGACCCTCCAAGGGCTTCCCGCACCAGAGACCTGGAAAGCTTAGGGTCTGCACCAAGCCGTTGGTGCTACACAGCCTGGCTCTCCCGTGGGCTCCCAGCCCAGGCCAGCAACAGTGTCCTGAGGTGTGTGGCCATGCTGGTCCTCCCGCACACCCTCTGAGCACCTGCCCAGGGCTGGGTGCACAGCAGCCACATCCTCTGATGTGCTGGCCCCAAGTCAGAGCTGGCACCCATCAACTGGACACACAGGAGGAGCACGAGACATAACCCAGGACCCAAGGCCCCCAGAGCAAGGCAGACCTGCAGAGGCCGTCCCCATCCTGGGCCTGGGGCTGAGTGTGGTGGGGTCTGTGCCTCTGCACACCCACATGTGGTTCCCTCTCAGTCCTGCCCGAGGGCTTTCATTGTACTGATGCCTCTGGGCGCCAAGGTGGCCCAGTGTCCCCTCAAGATCCTAGGGGATCTCACAAGTCAACCCACTCTCCTGGCCTGGATGCGCTGTGGCTGAGCAAGGAACTCACACATTACCAGGATAACAATGACCACCAGAGGGGCTTCCCGCGTGCTCTCCACACTTCGCCCTTCAGCAAGGACCAAGGGTCAGAGAGAGTGACCCTCCAGGCCCTGAAGAGTGCAGGTGAGCCCAGCTACTCAAGCAGGAATAGAGAGCTAGTGCCCAGCGGAGCAGAGGCTGCAGCAAGGGACACTGGTATGGGCAGTCGGGGGCCAGAAGCAGCTCCCAGAAGAGAAACACCCCTGGCCACGGAGGCCCTAGCCATTGATGGCAAGAGTGTTTGTGATGTTCTTCCCCCAGGACTCCCGAGGGCGAGTGTCCTGAACAAGCCTCCGAGCCTCAGGGGGCTGCTTGGTGAATCTGAGTCTCAGCTTCCTGTCCTCCTCCTCCTTAGGGGGAAGAGGGACCTTGGCCACACCCCAGGCATAGGGCAAGCACCTCTGACCTCCTGCTCCTCCTGACCTCCTGCTGCTCCCTGACCTGCTCCTCCCTGACCTCCTGCTCCTCTCTGGCCTCCTGCTACTCCTGACCTCCTGCTCCTCCCTGACTTCCTGCTCCTCTCTGGCCACCTGCTCCTCCCCAACCTCCTGCTCCTCCCTGACCTCCTGCTCCTCCCTGGCCTCCTGCTCCTCCCTGACCTCCTGCTCCTCCTTGGCATCCTGCTCCTCCCTGACCTCCTGCTCCTCCCCGAACTCCTGCTCCTCCCTGACCCTCTGCTCCAGCCAGCCCAGGGCCACCCCCACAGAGCAGCAGAGCCCCCCGGGGTTAGTGAGCACCCCACACGGCACACGTTAGCCAGCAAACATGTCTGGAGAGCATGCCCAGGAGGCCGCGACACTTACATCCACGTCCGCCACCGCCGTGGGGAGAGAAGAACACAGTTAGGAGAGGCCCTGGGGCGAGAGCCACACCCACCCATACACACACACACGCACACACGCGCACGTGAGTGTGAAAACACACGCGTGTGCACACACACACACAGCTCCTCCTGTGTGACCAGGGGAAAGACACTGCCCAGCGCAACTCTCTCCTCCCTAGCAGATGGCAAGAGGAAGGACCCTCTTAAACCTCTTAAACCTCTTGCCATCTGCCGTTCTCCCTAGCAGATGGCAAGAGGAAGGACCCTCTTAAACCATGTCCCAGGGGTGCTCTGTGCCTGGGCTCAGGTGGCCATCCCGAGTGTAGTTCTCTGTCCATGGGGGCAGGTGGGGCCTGACGGCAGAGGAAGAGAAAGGGAGGCGGGCAGTGGGGAAGGAACTGGCTGCAGGGGCGGGGAGGGAACCAGGTGCACAGGCAGAAAGGACAGCACAGATCAGCGGCCGCCTCTACCGCTCCTGGGTGGCTCTTGTGGCCCCCCACGCCTATCAGCCTCCCAGCTGCCCCTGTCCTTCTCCACCCTCCATCCTGTGCTGGGACCTGCATTTATAGCCCTTAGGAGACTCCTGCTCTGCTCAGGGGTCCTCGGGACAACTCGTGGCCCAGGCTTCGGTCCGAGCGGCCCCCATAGGACACCACTCCAGGGGACCTGGAGGGAAGCATCCTGTGCACTGAGGCCTTCTCATGGCCCCAGCGAACCTCCCCAGTACCACCTGCTGCCACTGCAGAGGCCATCTAGCCCAACCCACCACCTAACAGTGTCCTGCTTGTGCTGGCCCAGTGGCACCAGAGCCAGTGGCCAGGCAGCAGTGGGCAGTGTGTGCCCACCCCATGTCCTCACGTAGTCAACAGGCTGCAGGCTGGGACCTCCCTCCTTCTGAGCCAAGCCGCATGCTCCCTGGGGAACAGCGAGGGCCACAAGGGCTTGGACAGTCCAGCACAGTCTAGTCCCTGGTGTGTCCAGTTAAGGCCAGGCAAACAGGAGCAGGCTACCAAGCTGTCACACACAGTGAAGGCAGCAGCAGGCGTCCCTGTCCAGAAGTGGAGGCCTCTTCCCTCCCTGGAGTCTCCTGGCTACTCTAGTGTGTGGTGCTTCCACTAACGGCAGTCCTTGGAAACAGTAGTCCTTCGACAACCATTGCACAACCATTGCACAACCATTTCACAACAGTGCAGAGAGCGAGGAAAGCAGGGACCTTTGTCTGTATTTTAAGGTGAAGAAACTAAGGCGCAGAGTAGTTAGGAGATTCACAGAAAGCTGCACAGCTCGTAAGTGGCAAAGCAGGACCAGGGCTCCCTTGGCTGCACCAGGACGACACCCCTGGAACCACAGGGCTCCAGCACTGCAGTCTTGGCAAGTTCCTGGGCGTACTTCCCACAGTACAGGGAGGCATGACTGTGTGGTGACTGAGCAATAACTGCACACATTTTTTTGGGGGGGGGCACTAGTGATTGCACCCAGGGGTGCTCTGCCACTGAGCTACATTCCAGCCCTTTTTATTTTGAGGCAGGGTCTCACTAAGTTGCTGAGGCTGGCCTTGAACTTGCAACCCTCCTGCCTCCATCTACCAGGTTGCTGGGGTTACAGGCATGGCCACAGCCCCTGGCTGTGTTACTCCTTTCTTCAAGAGCTGGAGGTTAACTCTGCCCTTGATGTGGGATGGACATGGTGACTCACTTCCACCAAACAGGATGAGAACTTTGAACTGGCCACTTCAAAGACAAGGTGATGAAGGGCACTGTGGCTTCCTGCCTGCCCTCTCTCTGGGGTCACCTGCTCTGGGCCAAGTCGTCTGCCACACTGCAAGGACATCAGCAGCCCTAGAGAGGCCATGTGGAGAGGAACTGAGGCCTCTGGCCCACGGCCACTAGAGGCCACATTGATGTGAACTTCCAGCTCCACCCCTCAGATGAGGGCGCACTGGCCACCATCTTGACTGCAGCCCCCAAGGCATTGCACACGCTCCAAACACTACCCACAGGAGTACAGTGTGTCTGCTCTGCAGGAGTGACCCTACTGGGCCCCCTGGCCATGCAGCTGGGAGGGAGCCGAGGTCCCTGCTCGGGTTAGAGGCCCTCCTGAGGCGAGCCAGCAGCTGTGGGGGCTGGAGACGCTGCTTACTCACCTTTCCGGGTCCTGCAGGTGGCGCAGCAGGTGCACACTGTGGGAACGGGGGCAGCGTCAGTGAGGACCCCACCCAGGAGCCAGCCCCAGGCACAGGGAGGCCGAGAGGGTGGGGATCCCGTGCGCTCAGCACGGGGATCCCAGGAAGGGGGTCTCTGCTCCAAAGCACCTGTCCCCTGGTGCCCAGAGCCGGCCTCGAGTCCTGCAGCCCTAGGGCAGGTGTGGGCAGGTTCAGGTATCCTCCAGGAAATCGCTCCAACCACCCATTCCCAGAAGTCTCTCCTCCAGACCGTCGGGTTCAGAAAGTTCCCTGGGACACCTCCCTAGACTAGTCCCTGAACCCCAAGTGCGCAGTATCTGGCCGTCTGGCCCAAGTCCTGGTTGGCTGCTGTCCCGCCTGCTCCCTGGCTGTCGGAGCACAGCTGGGCCTTGGCACATGGTGGATGCTCGTTAAGGACTTGCTGTGATCCAAATCCACTCTTACAACTCCCTGTGTGCCCTTCCCTGTGGCCAGCGCTAGGCGTCCCACTCATGGTGCCCCGTCCCTCCCATCCTTTCTGCAGGGAGGGCAACCTCAGTCCCTGCCTGCCCTGTATCTTCAAGGGCCTGAAGCTCCACACGCTGAGAAGGTGGGGTGGCTGCACTAGCAGCACCAGCCTGGGCGTGGGACGCAGGGCAGCACCATCCTTCTCCATCCCTGGTGGCAGGGCCTGCGTCCTCCTCAGACCACAGGCAGCGCCCTGAGTGCCAGGTGTGTTGGGCACCTGTGCAGGGGGCACGGGCAGCCAGAGAGGGAGGCAGCCTGGGTCCCCTTCCAGGAGCCTGCAGAGCGGAGGGCCGMGCAAGCGCCATCTGCCTCCCTCCGTCACAGCTTCCTGCGCCCCCTTCTCAAGACACACAGGGCTCTTCCTCATTCCCCAGTGGTCCCATGGGTCCAGCAGAGCTCTACCTCCTGCTGGGGCCTGGCGGCCTTCCTCCTGAGACTCGCTCGCCCTCCTCCTCACTAGGCAGCAGCCCCCTGCCTGGAAGGGCGTCTTCCTGCTCAGTGTGTCCCTGCGGGCTTGTCTGTGGCAGGGCACACACTTCTGTCCTGTGTGAACCGTCACCTAAACCTCACGCTGCTCTGTCCTTTCCTCACTCAGCCTTGCGCGCTCAGGACCCACCCGTGCATCCCGTCTGTGGCTCCAGTGTCCGCAGGACTCCGTGGGCACAGCTGCCACCTCTCCCGTGTCTCTCCAGGAGCCTTCCCAGCCTGCACCTCTCCCTGTGCCCTCCTCACAGTGCTGAGCGGCCCGTCGGGGTCACCTGGCCCTTTTGTAAAGAAGAAGCTGCGCAATCGGCTCCTTGGAGCCCCATGGGGACTGTCCTGAGAAGCTCCGTGGCCAGGCCTGGCCCCGCAGGGACAAGTGCAGCCTCTGCTTGGTGGAGTCCTGGAGTCCAGGCCCAGCTGGCAGAAGCCCGTGGCTCCCCAGCTCTGCCCTGCCCCACCCCTGTGGATCTGAGGCCGTGCAGGCTGGGCTAATTTCCTGCCCCTGCCCTGGGCCTGGGCCACCTTTCCTTGCTGAGGTGGCTTTTATTTTAGGCCCGGCAACATCTAGAAAGAGCACCACCCAGCCTCACTGTGGGTCAGCATCTCCCTTCCCTGTCCCCAAACCAGCCCGGGGGAGGGCAGCGCGGAAGTGGCTACCGAAGCACAGCATCAGCCACCAGGGTGGCTCTGCTGCCAGGCCCAGACCAACTCCCAATCCAATCATTCCCAGCCCTTATCTACCTGGTGCTGGGCAGAGAGCATGCTCTAGACCCAGGAGACATCCTCTTTTAGACACTCAAGCCTCTCACGCACAGTTCTGCTCTGAACACGCACAGGGAGTTCCAGAAAGGAGGCCCGGGTTCCGGTGCTATGCAGCCTTGGCACAGTGCATGACCCCTCTGGGCCTGCTTCCTCTACTTGACTCTATGGGGACAGGGGCTGCAGGGCCAGTGACACCACTTCCTCCCACAGCAGGACTCCAGCTCAGCTCATCCCGCCAGGGATCTCCCTGCTGCCCGCAGCCCCCTTCCCTCCTGGACACTTTGGGTGTTACAAAGCGCTCTCCTGGGTGAGATAAATACCATCATGGGTAACGGTGGTCTCTGCACGTTGGCCCCAGGCCCAGTCCTAAGCACTCCACCTGGCTGGGTCCAGAGTGGCATTCCTGTGTGTAGATGAGGAGTTCAGGGTTCAGAGAGGACGAGCATTTGCCCAGATCACGTGCCGGCGAGGGTCCCTGCACTGGCTTCTGGGCCTCTTCTCTAGCTTCCTGAGGCTCAGCAGCTGATCATGGGAGAGGTGATGCCACTCCTGGGCAGTGCCCAGTGGGTCAGAAGCTGGGTGCACAGTGAAGCCTGGTGTGGTGATGACCCGAGGACACTGCCTGGTAGCCAGGAGCCTGTGCCCGCCTGCAGCCCACCAAAGGTGACCCTGGTGACAGTCCTTTGGGCTCCGCCTGAAGGGTTAGACTGTGTGATCCCCAAGGCCCGTCCTGCAGGGTTCTGAGGGGCCCCTCAGGAGATAACCCTCCAGAGGTGCCCCTCACCCTGTGGCTAGGCCCTCTCCGCAGCTCTGCCCTGTTTCTAGGATTAAAATACCTCTCACCAAAAAACCAGTCTTCCAACCCTCAGAGGAGCACAGGGAACATCCCAAGGGCACCTGGGGGCCCTTGGCTCTGACTGAGTCCCTGTTCCCAGGGTAGCACAGTGCTCATGCTCCACACCCCTGAGGCTCAGCCAGGTCTGCAGGACGGAAGCCTGCTGCAGGCTAGGCCTCAGCACACGGGGGTCTCGGGGGCCAGGGGTCCCGTGGGGATGCTTAGGGCAGGGCAGATGCCAGGCATACGTCCCGGCCACAGACTGCACAAGAATGGCCCATTCCCACCCCTTATGCCTCAGAGGGGAGGAGCTGACCCAGCACCGCCCCCACACCCCACGTGGACCCTCTGCTGAGAGCCCAGGCTGCCCTCAGCTCCTGGGAATATATCTGGAACACTGTGCGCTCTGGCCCAGTGCCCCACCCCCGTCCATGCCCCACTGTCCAGGAGCCTGAAGCCCACACAGATGGGTCAGATGCCTGGGGTCCCCAACGCATGGCCCCTCTACAGAAACCCACGTCTGGTCTCACCCCAGACCCACAGAGACCCCGGCGGGGTGGGCCAGTCCGGGGACAGGGGCGTGCAGTGAATGGGTGGCCGGGGATGAGCGGGGAGAGCAGAGAACAGGAAAGGAATTGTCCAGGGGAAGAGGGCTGCCGCCCAGGTGGGGTGAAGAGGAGGCACTCAGGTGCTCAAGACGGTGAGACCCTGGGAGTGTGGAGCCAGAGAGGAAGAGACCATTGGGGGCTCCAGGGCCCCGTCCATCTCTCTGTGGCCTCGAGGCTTGGCACTACTGCCCCCCCCGAAATTCCAGGGGATCAAATGGAGGCAGGACCCTCTGATGCAGGTGACCTAACTGCCCCTGAGCTGAGTCCCAGACCAGCTTCCAGGTGAGTGGCACTGCCCCTTGGCTGGCCTAGCACGGTCTGATGGACACCTCTGCTGGTGGCAGGGCCAGGGGCCAGGGCCAGAGTGCACGGCCCATGGTGGACAGGCCTCTCAGAGAAGTAAGGCCATGGTAGAGGGAGAGGGGCAGTGGAGCGCACCTACCTGAGCTGCTGGCGCTCTCGGAAGCGCTCCGCGACATCTTGGGCTGGCCGTGTTTGCCGCTGGCCCGCCCGGGCCCAGGTGGAGGGGGGCCAGAGGGAGCAGGGGCGCCGTCTCCCCTGATGGTGCTGAGGTCCTGCATGCTGAAGCTCCGGAGTCTCTCTGACAAGGCGCCCTGGCCCTGGGCACAACACAGGGGGACACACATCAGAGGCTAGACATGCCAGGCCAGGAGCCCTGACCTGAGGGCCAGCGAGGTGGGAGTCAAGGCCTAGATGGACCCTGCAGAGGGCAGTGCTGGACACAAGATGGTCAGCCCGGCTCGGCCCAGACACCCATGGAGAGCTGGGGACCCAAGCAGACGCCACGAGGGGACCACGCCTCAGGCCCTGCCACCAGGGGCCACGCAACTTCCCTGGACTCGCACAGGAAGGTCCTCATCCAGCTGAGTCTCCTTGGTTCTTAACACACAAGCATCTCGTCAGAAAGCCAGACCCTGATGTGCTCAGTCCTCGGTCTTTTCAAGGGAAATAGAATAGGGTTTTTAATGTACGACGACATTCGCCTCTTTTGTCTGTGCGGCTGTCACTGTTCATGAGGCTCGTTGTTCACGCTGTGCGTTTGCGCTTCACAAAATATCCACAAGGTGCGGATAGGAAGGAAAATGGTCTATTTTTAAAACCCACTGATCATGATCACTTCCTTGTCTGAAGGAGCCACGGAGTGAATCCTGGGAGGGGCATCATTATTTTAAGAAATCAGGAAAAATCATTATACTGGCTGCGTAGGAAGAGCATCTCAATGGAGAGTGAGGTGCTCCTGGTGGCACCCTAGGGCCAGCCTCACCCAGCTGGGCCTCAGCTGGGTGGGACAGGGCTGGCAGGAGACTGAGAAATGCCTGGGGTTGGGGAAGGGTGATGGGCAGCAACGCTCAGGCAAGTCAGTGAACTGAGGCAGCTCAGAAGCCCGTGCTGATGGCCTCAGGTGCCCATGGTGGTGGGGACAGGAGAGGTAGTTTACTTGGATAATGGAGGGAAGAATGGTTCTGGAGGTCCACAGGAGGTGGGGACAGTAAAGCACACAGAAATAACAGAACCCAAATCAGCAAGAACTGGTCAGAGCTGCTTGGGCAGGACTCAGGCCTCTGTGAATTCAATGAACAAGCCCAGGCCCCCACTGCGTGGCAGGGGCTGTCAGAGATGGAGGGAGGGCTTGCAGAGATCTTTTTCTTTTTTCCTTTTTTTGTGGGGGTAACAGGGATGCTTAACCACTGAGGTATGTCCCCCGGCCCATTTTATTTTTTTTTTTTTAGAGACAGGGTCTTGCTAAGTTGCTGAGGCTGGCTTTGAACTCTTGATCCTCCTGCCTCAGCCTCCCGAGTGACAGGGATTACAGGCCTAATATTTTTTTCATGTTACTTAATAAAAAATCATAGCAATATAATTAAACCAACCAAGCACACTGACTCGCTGACATCGAAGTTGCAGACAGGATAAAGAAGCCAAGGCAGGAGCATATGGAGGGCTGACGGGGGGCTAGGAGAACCATCAGGGTCAATAAAGCAGCGGTTCTTCAGAAGGTGAGATAGCAGCTCCCAACCTACCAGAGTACAAAAACTGTGTGCTGCAAACCAACAGTAACCCAAAGAAAACTCTAAATAATCAGAGACCAACAACCAGGTGCACCAGCCCAAGCTTGGAGAACATTACATGAACTAAGACTCTGCTCTAGATGGCAGGAGGCAGGCTCTCAGGCCCCACTTCCTGGGGCCTCATCCAAACCTCACAGCCAGCAGCCATGGTTAGCTCACTTTACCCAGAAATGTTTCTGTGACATGTGTAATGTATTTATTTATTTTTGTGGTGCTGGGGATGGACCCCAGGTCCTCGGCATGCTACGAAAGCGCTGACCACTGAGCAACACCCCAGCCTGCCATTTGGAGTTTGGAAGCTGAAATTGATTCTGGAAATGTGAGCAGATATTCTGATAATTATGCCTGAGTGCAGCCGCGTGAGGCTGACGGCAGGTCCAGGTGGCCACTTGCTGATGCGCTCTCTCCCTATTATTCACTCACACACTGAGCAGCAATTTATTGGGCACTTTCCATGGCAGCACCCTGCATTGGGTGTTAATAGGAAGGGGCAAAAAGACAGCTTGGTGTCTGACAAAGTATAAAAAGAGAAAAGTGCAAATAAGAACCCAAGTGCACAACAGAGGCCACAGGAAGAGGAGACGAGGACACAGCTGTGGGGAGGTGGGGTCCGTACTCCACTAGACTGTGGCACAAGTGGTGCCCTCCGCCTCTCCACCTCAGAGCCCATCTGCAGAGGAGCTGCTGCCCAGCTGGGTGCTGGTGAGGACTCAGTGAGATGACCCCCTCAGGCACCCCTACAGAGCCCCCCACTACTTTCTGAGGCACTTAAGCTGCTGTTGAAATTGAAGGAGAAGATTGTTCTGGCCCAGAAGACCAGGAGGGGCCCCAGGAACCCAAGCCCATATAAATGGCCAGGGACAGACTCCATCAGCGTGGCTGCCGGTTCTCCACATGCTCAGATCTGAGGGAAGCAGGAGTGGCCTCACACGTGTCCATCTGCTCTCCCAGGAGCCAGCCAGTCAAGGTCCAATGTCACCAACATTGCAAAGACTGACGGGGCAGGGCCAAGGATACATAGGATAGGAGTAGCTCTCTATCTACCCTGTCCCCTGTGGAAATCAGAAGGCTCCTGAAAACCAGTTAGCACCGTGTCCCAATTTCATGGGCAACAGTTGCCTTCTTAGATGGTAGTTAAGATGGCAGCATGCCAGAAGCCACAGTCCTTAGACACAGTGGGCTCTGGCTGCACAGGGCAGAGCCACCTTGGCTAACTGTTGCGCTCCAGGCTGCTCTTACTGCAGTCGGGCGCTTCGTCTGGCCACATGCCGGTCACTTAACTTCAGCACGGTTAGTTGCTGTGCTTCCCCTCCAGCTTGGCTACTGCAGACTTGGACCCCTACTCTGCTTGATGGACGCCAGGGTCAGGGAGCTGAACAGATGTCTGTGTCACCATTCATTGAGCTGCTGCCTGAGTACAGTGCAGCAGGAGACCCCACCCCACTGGATGCATCTGCAGGTCCCAGACAGCATCCTGTGAGGGGGGTCTTGGGTGTGACCACAGGAGTGCATGAGAGTGTCAGGGGGTGAAAAGTGAGAGGCCAGGAGTCCTGGGGTCCGCCCTTGAACTGGCCTTGGAGGGCTTGGACCAGGTGGAAAGAGAAGCATATTTCTCAGCCTGGGTCACCCCTGAGTGGCACCCTCCACCCACCACAGTGGGGGTCTGTGCAGTTTTGTGTGCTACAGGGTGGGGGCCACGCAAGCATCTGACCATGGAGGCGTGCTTCCCAGGCCTCCAGGCAGGCAGCTGGGAGGAATGGGCCTCACTCTTCACCACGCCCCCTCTTGTCCCTGAAGAATTTGGGAACGTGTGTTCCCTTTAAGGAAGCAGTATGGTTCACCCGTCAGTCCTCAAGGCCACCCTGGAGTTCCCATCTCACGAGCACAGGCTTTGTGTGACCCTCACATATGCCCCTACACCAGACACTGGCAGGGAGGGTTGGAAACAGCAAAGGAAACAGTTAAAACAGAACCGAGAGGGAGGACGTGGGGTTTCCACCAGGGACCGACTGCCCCCCTTCAAGAGGCGCTCGTCCCGGGGACCAGCGAGCCACAGGAGAGGCACCATACGGCATCGGCCCATCCACACCACGCGGAATCTAATGCTCTACGGGCACAGTGACAGTAATGCAACCGGTTTAGTGGTCAGCAGTTGGCAGCAGCCACTAGTAAGACCAGGTCCCTCCCGCAGCTGGACAGGTTAGTACTCCCCCCACTGGCGCCCACGCTGACAGTGAGGCCTGCTCTGCACACGACCCCCAGAGCCAGGCAGGAGCCTCCTCATGCTGCACGGAGGCCAGCCTTGCTCATGAGGAAGATGGGACCCACCAGCCCGGAGAGGGAGTCAGGCGCCCACCACGGCAGCCCCAGCAAGTCCAGGCAGCGAGGGAGGAAACCCTGGAGGTTAAGCAGGCGTTAGACGCTACCTAATGACACACCACCAGGCACCGGGGGACCACAGGTTCACAAGCACCGCACACATGGGGCAGGAAGCCACCGCCACTGAGCCAGACCAGGGCCACAGGGACAGCTGGGCCTTAGCCACAACTGGGTCAGCTTGGGGTTAGTCACACCTCTCCACAGGGTTACCTGCCCTTCCCTGTGGTCCAGAGAGGAGGCAAAGTGAAAGAGTCGAGCCACCTGATGAAGGGGAAGAGGGGACACAAATGAAGAGACAGCCCCAGCCGTGGGCACAGATGACACGTGGAATGGACAGAGGCGCGTCCGCCTCCTGCCCTCCTTCATGTCAGTGCTCAGCCTGCTGGGGTTCCAGAGCTGCTCCCTGGATCCCTGGTCACCCTCAGCCCCCCTGGGACACCCAGGGTTGGTCACTGTCTCCCTGGTCACCCTCTTAGACCCTGCTGGGATGCCCAGGGCTGGTCACTGGCTCCCCGGTCACTCTCTCAGCCACACTGGGATGCCCAGGGCTGTCACTGGCTCCCTGATTACTCTCTCAGCCCCCCTGGGATGCCCAGGGCTGGTCACCCTCTCAGCTCCCCTTGGATGCCCAGGGTTGATCACTGGCTCCCCGGTCACTGGCTCAGCCCTGCTGGGATGCCAGGGCTACGGCATCCTGCATAGGGGTGGGGTGGGGGACATGGGGTCTGCCCAAGGAGGTCAGCTCTAGCTAGGTGTGGGCCAGGAATAAGGACAGCAACACGTGACAGGGCGGGGGGTGGGGAGGTCACACTGCTGGCTCATCAGTGGAGGCCTCTGCACAGGTAGATGGGCAGGGCCAGGGTGTGAGCATGGGAAGCCCAAGGCACCTTCAGGACACTGTGTGGGCCCACCTGGAAGAGGAGGCCCTGGTGCGGGTCGCGGGATAGGAATGGAAAACCGGGCTTCGGTGGCAAGGTGTGTTCTTTGACCAGAACCTGAACACATCCCTGGCAGGGGCAGGGAGGTGAACAGTGGGCGGGTATTGAAAGCAGATGTTAGAACAGTCAGAACCTTCTGGACACTTAAGGCCGCACACACGGAGGACTGGCCCAAGGGCTTCCTCCTCTTTCCCCTCAGTTTGCAGCTGGCACGTGGACACGGAGAAGAAGGACTGGATTTCCCGAGCTCCCTCTGGGAGGTGCCCTTGGTGACGGACAGCAGGCAAACCAAACCCTCAAGGCTGGTGGGGCAGTGTGAGTGGGGTGCCCACAGAGCCCCAGAGAGGGAGAAGCAAGGAGTCAGGGCAGCACTAAGGGCCAGGGTCTACTGGTAGTGCCCAGTGATGGGCAGTGACGGTATCAAGACCACCTGGAGGGATCTGCACACATGACTATCAAGATGGGCATCTGGCTGGACGCTCTACCTGGCCCAGCCGCCCTAGAGCAAAGGCCCAGGGGGTTAGTGAGTGGACAGTGAGAAGGGAGAGAGGACAGGACAGACATCCACAGGACAAAACATCCATCCCTAGTGGCAAGTGCAGCTGTGGTCACGCGTGTTCCAACGTCTTTCCACAGGAGAGAGCTTCACGGAAAGGGAAGCATCTTATGGAAACACGGCATGGGGTCCAAGTTCTTTAACTAGCATCTAATTGCTGCCATGTTTGCCTCGGGTTGGGAGCCTGTGTGGCGGCCCTGGCTGGCAGCCCTGACTGGTGGCCCTGGCTGGCACCCTGGCTGGCAGCCCTGGGGTACAATGTACCCTCCGAGCTCCTTAGGGGTTTGACAGAGGATGGTCAGAGGCTGGAGCCCACCCTGCAGAGCCTGGCTGTGGCCGACTCTGAGACCCTCACTGGCGGGTGGTGGTCCCTCAGGGCTCTGCTCAGGTGGGTGGGGTAGTGCGTGGGACCCCGGCTGGGAACCTCAGCAGGTAGAGCTGGGAGACCCTGCCGAGGAGCCCAGCTCTACTGCTTCCCTAAGCAGAGGCTGTGGCTCTGGCAGCTGAAGCCCTTCCTGAACAGCAGCACCCCTTTGCCTTCCTTCTCCATGGGCAGATGGCAGGTGTCTCCAGGGACCCTCCACCTGGGGCAGTCGAGCTGGAGGAGGAGCCCTGATAGGGAAAGCCCAGCCAGGAGGCCAGGGCACATGGGAGGGGACCAGAGTGGAAATGGCCTCCCCACCCAAATCTGCGTGCAGCTGCCCAGGGCCAGTGCTTGGCTGGTGTCATTCTGTTCCACAGTGAAGAGGTCGTGACCAGCCTGGGAGGGCCATCTCACCCAGGAGCAGGAGCCTAACAGGTGGCCCTTCTGCAGCACTGGCCATGAGCCCTGCCCTCAGGAGGTTGCTGTGCACTGGCTCAGAACTGCTCCACCGCAGGTACCATGCCATCCCCGTGGCAGAGTGGAGGCTCACGGGACACCAGAGGAGGAGGGGTGGCCCCTTCCCGGGGTCTGCTGTTCCCGAAGCCCACCCTTGGGAGGCAGTTAAGAACACGCGAGACTCTCCATTCCCTCAGCACTCACTGAACACCTCTCAGGGACGTGGGCGGGACGAAACGTAAGTGACCACATCAGAAGAGGACCAGGGTGTGACAGCCCAGCTCCACATGGGAGCATAGGAGGCTCTAGCGGGCAGACAGGACCTTGAGGCGTGGGCAGGATTTCAGAGAAGCAGAAGGAAGAACGTGGCAAAGGCAGGCAGGAGAGCGGCTCTATGCGTAGTGAGAGTGGCGATTCTGAGAACAGGGGCCGGCGCTGTGGGCAAGTACCAAGGGCTGCAAAGGAAGGCGAGCCAGGACTGATGCTTGGGGTCCTGAGAGATGGTGACTGCGTGGTCATCAGAAAGACAGGCCCAGGGCTGGGCAGACTTGGGACTAGGGAGTGTCCACTAAGGGTGCTGAGGCTCAAGCCCCAGGCAGAGAAGCCTGTAGGAGAGCCGGGTGTTTTATGGCTCCTGAAGGGACAAGCATGAGATGTGTCATCGGGGAGGAGCGGGCGGGGGGCAGAGAGTCCACCATGCAGGGGAGGCGCCAGGGAGGAGCGGGCATGTGTGGAGGGCAGAGGGTTCCAAGCCCCACAGCCAAGAGACCATCCCCTGGTGAGAGCCTTAGGCTGTCTTCTGGACCTTGTGGGTTGGGCCAACCTCTTCCCCAATGCCCTCAGCAGGCTAACCCTCCAGGCTGACAGAACAGAGGGGCTGTCCATTGGGCCATAGCTCCTGCCCCCGGCCTCCTGCTTGGCTGGCTGCAAGGCCAGGTCTTTCAGGTTGGGAGCGAGCGATAGCGGGAAGAGCCTCCTGGGTCCCACGGAGACTGGCTCTGAGGTGAGAAGCTGGGTGTGAGCACGGCGGGGGCTGGAGGGCAGGCAGCCCCTCCAAGTGTCTTCTGCAGGTTGTCCACACCTCTCAGAGCATGCTGGTTGCCGTGGTGAGTCCTAAATATTAACCCATGTCCCACACTCCTCGCTTGAACAAGAAGGGCTATCACAATGTGGGCTGGCATAGCCGCCGGGGAGCTTTCCCCTGAGGGAGGGGCAGACAGGAGCCCAGGCCCACAGATCCAGCAGTCACAGGTGGACACAGAAAGGGCACGGGCACCTGGAGAGGCACAGCCCTTGCTTTCTCTCCCTCCTTGGAAATGACTAGTAAGCGAGGCTGAGGCAGGGGAGTAAAATCAGTGGCTCTTTGCTAGAGAGAAAACAAAGGCAAGGAATCAACTGGTCAGCCAGGAGCCCAAATCACAGGGCACGTGCTTCTGGACTGACTCCGATCCCAAGAATAAAGTCTGCTTGTGGCTCAAAAGCAGCACTTCACTCAGCTAGAGGTTTAGATAAAGCACTGGTGGATAAGAGGTGGGGGCAGGAGGGAGGCAAGGAGGGGACTTTTTTTTTCTATTTATGTTAAACTATTCTATAACTATTTAAAAACATTTTTTTTTATTATAGTCCCTCATGGACAGCATGGCTTTGTTTATTTTTATGTGGTGCTAAGGATGGAAACCAGGGCCTCATGCGTGCCAGGCAAGTGCTCTGCCACGGAGCTACAGCCTCAGCCCGATTCTGTAACTATCTTTTATGGCAAATTGAGAATTTTTTTTTTTTTTTTTAGAAGAAAAAACGATCCTTCATCTCCTGGTGGTTCTGGCCTGGCTGTTTAGATGCTTGGTCACCCCCTGGTGGCTGATGGCCATAATTGCAGGCAAAGCGCCTGAGCTTGGGAAGCAGGTCTGAAGAGTGGAGCCACATTGGGTGGACCAGAGAGGCGGAGGGCCACAGCATGGGTGCGCGACAGCTGAGCTTCTCCATTTTCCCGGCAAACCTTATAAAGAGAGGCCCAAGAGCTCAATGGGTAAGGGTTGGGGGTATCCTACCAAAGCCAAAGCAGCTACAGGTCCAGGGTGGAAACAAGATGGAGGAGAACCCAAGAGTGTTAACAGAGGGCTGGGGCAGGCCTGCCCAGTGGAACTTCCTTCAGCATAGAAATGTGATACGCTGTGCCAGCCAGCATGGCTACTTAGGACTCCAGACGGGGGCAGTGTGACTGAGGAATCAAATTTTAGGGTTAGTTTAATTAATTTCAATTTAAATAGCCAGACGTGGCATGTGGCTGGCGTATTGGACACAGCAGGAAAGAAGGGATCAAAGAAGTGTATGTTCAGAGCCCTCGACCAGGTGTGATGAGGTAGGCAGCTAGGCATCGTCCTGTTGCTGTTCACGTTCTAAGCAGGAAGCAAAGAGGAAGGCAGAGTCCCTCACCTCGAGACACTGACGTTCCATAGGAGGGAACTACGGGACTCCTGGGGGTGGGGACCCGACACCTGGACACCCACTGTGGGAGAAGAGTCCCTGATTGAGAGGATGCGGATCTTGCTGGGCAGCGCTCTCAGTGGGCAACTATAATGGTTGGTGTTGTCATTACTGCTCTAGGGTCAGGGTCTTCAGGGGCTAAACAACATCACCTTTCGAGTTTCATATCAAAGCAAGGTTTGCTCACCAGGTCTGAGAGTGAGTGGGTGGAAGGGACTAGTGTGCCGTTCAGATTTCAAGGGGCATAAGGTGGCCTGAGAACTCACAGTTGTGCAACTTGTTCCATTAGTTCTCCCAGGGTCTCCCTTTCACATGAGAATGTGTTTTGCTGAACAAATAAATTTAGAAAACATTATTTTTAAGGGTCTTTTTAGTTGTAGATGGACAAAATGCCTCTGTTTTATTTATTTGTTTTTATGTGGTGCTGAGGATCAAGCCCAGTGCCTCACATGTGCGAGGCAAGTGCTCTACCCAGCCCCCTAGAGAGTGTTATTTTTAAAAAAGAGATGTTCAATTCTAGTCCTGAAAAGTCCTGGGACTCAGTTTTTCCCCTGGTGGAGTCAGGGGCCAGGAGCAGAGCCAGCCAAGCAGCAGAGGACACCTGGACAGAGGTGCATCCCCCCAGATGGGGATGCAGACCCGCAGGAGGGGTCAGCAGTTCTGGGGGATCCCTGTGTCTAGTTGTTTCATTTTAGTTTTTTCAGTTCTAAGATATATTAGCATTAATAAGAAATATATTTGCATGATGATGATTTTAAAAGATCTCCTGATCTTTCCTTAGGCTTTGTAGCGTCCTGCTGGGAGCTGTGGCAGGATGGAAAGGGAGAGGGGAGAGACTGGACGCCTCACCTGGACAGCGTCTGCAGTCCTCCGCACAGTCACGCTGTGCAGGGACAGGTCAGTCAGTGAGGACACATGCTGACGGTACCTATGGCTCACAGCAGGCTCACAGGCCAGGGATGTGCGCTGAGCCTGCACCTTCTGATGAACCTCTGAGTGTCCCCATAGTCAGCTGACACGTGATGTCCCCAAAGTTAGCTGGCATGTGTGCGCATTCCTCAACTGCCATTAAGTTTTGGGGAAACACACACGCGTGCGCACACACACGCGCACGACTGCCCTCACTCCTCATGCTTCAAGGAATTAAGTCTGAGTCCCAGGAAAGGTGCAGAGTGAGCCGTTTCACCCTAGTCACCTGAACTCCTGGCTCTGCGACCTGTGCAGGGCCAGCCCCTTAAAAATCACCTGGGGAACTTGTTAAAATAGAGACGCACCTGAGCACAGCCTGAGAGTCTCATTCAGCTCAATCTGAGAATCTACTACAAAATAAATCAAAGCTTCTAGGTGGTTTGGACATGAACGCCAGGTTTGGACTGGCTGGTGAGTCACCGACCTCTGACCCTGCCTGGCATGATCCACTGTTGCTATGGAAGCATCGATGGGCACCCCAGCCGCCATGAGTTTTTGGATTTGACTACTTTGTTTTTTTTTTTTTTTAAAGTACACATCTGTTTCAAAAGCAGAGGGCCTTGTTTTTGGAAGACAGACATTTTCTTCTCTGCAGATATTCACATGTAGAGAAGCGGTGAAGCTCCCACAGAGCAGAGCACACTCTCCTCTGAACCAGACTCCTCTGCGTCAGTCCACCTGGAAGGATCCAGAGGGTTTCTCTCCAGAGCTGAGTCCCAGATGAGCTGTTGGAGGTGCCTGGCTGGGGAAGCTGTGGGCCCTGGACCCCCCTGGCGGTTTGGGGACAGCAGTACCCATCCAGGGTGGCACAAGGCTCTGGCAACTCCGGCTTGAGGCAGACCTGAAAGGACAGTCCTGTGGAAGTCACCAGCAGGAAAGAACCTACATACATGAAGCTGGGTGGCCAGTGACCTACAACGCCCCCACACTGCGCCACGTTCACACTCTGAACTGAGCACAGCCAGGCCCGTCTTCCTTCCGAGAGACTAGAAGAGGACTGAGAGGAGGATCAGCAGGGGCTTTGTGGCTTCCTAATGTGTTGAGAATGTAGCGATTCCTTGTTCTCTTTTCTTTCGACGCCGGCTGCACTGGGGATCCAGGGCCTTCCTGGGTCCTGACGGATCTCCTTGGGACACTGCCCAGAACTCCCCTTGCAAGCCACTCATGGGCTCTTTCACCGTGTTGGCAGTGTGGGCAGCTTTAACAGGAGGGCGGGCAGGGCCCTGCAGGGGCTGCTGTGTGCGGTGGATGTCTCCCTGCGGTCTGTGTCACAGAAGGAGCCGGTCACCTGTGGACGGCCACCCTTGGTTCTCCTCCCAGCCTGCCTGCAGAGCTCCTTGGCCTCAGGCAGAGGTGCTTTTAAAGAGCCACAGCCTCTGCGCCCAGTCCCATGAACCTGCCAGTGCTTCTGCCTGGCACGGGGCGCGGCCAACTCAGCCTCAGACCTGCCCACACTCTCACCTCCCTCCTGCCCGCACTCGGCACCTCCATCCTGCCCGCACTCGGCACCTCATCCTGCCGTGCACGCAGACCCCGTGGAGCACAGTCTCCACCCTCCCACAGCTGCACACCCGTCCCCAGCCCTCCCACCCCATGGGAGACCAGAGCACCCCTCTGCTAAGACAGTCACCTCCCATCCACGCATCTCCCCCGACACACAGCAGCTGTTTCTCCCGCTGCCAGCTGACGGCAGACCTCGAGCCCCAACCTGGGCTCCCAGGAAGGGGCTGTCACCCGGAGACGCTGGGGCCACATGCCAAATTTACTCCTAGAGGACATGTTGGGTGGATTAATTGTTCAGGTCTGAGGACGTGAAGAGCAGCTGACACAATGACCAAGAGGAATGACAGTGAAGAAGAGAAGGAGCCAGGAAGGGGCAGAGAGGGCTCTTGATGAGGATGGGGGGGGCACGTGGGTGACATCGCCGTCCCATGGACGGGCTCCTCCACATTCTTCCTTGCCAGGCTCGCCCATCCCCCTCACGTGGGGACCCGCAGCTCACCCTGGGACCCTGGGCTCCTTCTCCTGCATTTGCTGGGCCACAGGAGCGGGGAGACCGCCCCTTGCTCAGGTGGTCTGTGCACCTGTCGACTGGAGTCCAGGTGGCACCCTGTGCACCTGGAGCTGAGGGATGTGCCCTCCTGTCTGCCCCCAGGCCTCCCCAGCTCCCAGCAGGTGAGGGCCCTTACCCCGGGGCCGGCTGGGACCTCAGGGCTCTGGGTACGGTGCAAGTCCTGTGTGTGGACACAGGTGGTGGGTATGAAAGATGGCGGGATTCACTCGTCAGATTCTCAAAGGACCCCAGAAGGACAAGGAGCCCTGACACCCTGAGCCTGCCCCACCTGGCACCTGTTTGGAGCAGGGCGGGCTGGGGCCCAGGTGGCGGGCAGCATGGTACCTTGGAAGCAGCCATGACAGCGGCTGTGGCTGCCACGTTCAAGCCGCGCTTCCCGAAGTGCACGAGGGCATCGTAGCTCCTGTCTTTCGCCTGGACCAGGCAGTCATCAATTTCCTGTCAGAGGGAAGACGGTGCGCTGAGCAGGCAGCTGCGGCAATCTCCTGCCCTCCCAGTTCCCAGGCTGGTAGCTCCCCGTGGGATTCTCACTGGCCCAAGAGCCACCGGTACCGCCGTGGGCTGTGCAGACCAAAGGGACACGGGCGAGGGGCGGGGAGTGGACAGAGACCGGCCCGGGGCTGGCCCAGCAGGGACCAGGATTGTGAAGCCCCTGCCTCCTGGACGCGGCTGCTCCAGAAGCCACGGCCAGAAGCTGGGGCAGTCTCCCACCCTACCCTGCAGACCATGGCTGCAAGGCCGCCACAGTCTCCTGGGGAAAGGGGACAGTCATGACACGGAATCCGTGGCTCAATAGGCCTGGCCGAGGTCATTCCGTAAAGCACCACACGGAGCTGGATTCGTAGGTGGAAGTGTGGTCTGCTGACCCCTGCAGGTGGCCCTGGGGTCCTGCTGTTCTGTTGAGGTCTATGAGCCAGCGTGGCCGCGTGTGTGGGGACAGGAGGGTGAGGATGAAGAAGGAAACAGTTGCTACTTGTTGACCAGGGTGACCGTTTCACAGACTCCAGAGCAAAAGCAGAACCAGGAAGGCGCTGGTGCCCTTCAACAAGGCAAAGGTGAGGGACCGGCTGAGGTCTCCTCCACACAAAGCCAAGGGTGGCACTGGTTTCTTGACTGGTTTTGGGTTGCTTGAGGCTCAGGAGCTCATCTCAGAGCTCAGCCAGATGATGACACCTGGCCTCCGGCTGGCTCGAAGCCCAGCATGCAGTGTTTCTGTGCTCAGAGGGAGCGGGATTCCCGTTCCACGGCCCTCTAACCTTGCCATCCCCCAGAAGTGACTCAGCAGCTCTTGAGAGGCAGGGCCCTGCACTTGGAAATCAGGCTGCAGGGGAGGCCCAGCGCTGGGGGACGGGGAGGAGGAGCAGGACTGGAGGCCAGGTCCAGATGGACCCACTCCCCTAATCCCCGTTAGGGAACTGAGGAACAGTGCTCCACTCCTACAGAGCTTCCAGAAACTTCCATAGCAGCCTGTTCAGCCACTGCCTGGCCTCCGCTCAGAGTTCCCCAGGAGGGGGCACAGGGCTCTCCACCTCCAGAGGCTGTGGGGAGCAGCTCCCAGCCACCCACGGGGCTCCTATTGTATTTTTGTTGTCCTGAAAATTGAACCAGCGGGGTCACACCCCCAGCACTTTTTACTTTTTATTTTGAAGCAGGGTCTCCCTAAGTTGCTGAAGCTGGCCTTGAGCTTGCAACCCTCCTGCCTCAGCCTCCCAAGTTGCTAGGATTACAGATGTGTGAGCCTGATCTATTAGAAAATAATACAACCGATGAATTACACAATATTGGACTCCTTTGGCCCGCTAATCCTGCCCTTGGGATCTTACTCCAAGATGGAGAAGGAACCACACTGTGCACCTCGTGATGTCCACTGCAGAATCACCTTCCCCAGGAAAAGATGAGACGGTGTGGGCAGTGGTAAGGGACAGTCCCACGGTGGCAGGCACTGTTGAGACTACGTGGACGTGTATCATGTGCAAACACATCAGAGACCTCAGAACATAAATACTGCTACTCATGTCAAGGGGTTTGATTTTGCTTGGAGGCTGGGCCTCAAGCTCCTGGGCTCAGGAACCTCCTGCCTCTATCTCCCACGTGTGGGTGGCACACCACCCCCTACTCCCAGCTTGTGTTTTAAAAGTATTTTCAAAAAGGATTCCATGTAAAATTGTAAATAGTTACATTAAAATCCCATCTGCAGAAGGAGAGGGCCAACCACGGCCAAGGGGAGGGCCTTCAGCTGGGGGCAGTGAACTGCAATGGATGTTTTACTTCTCATTTTAATTGATGGAAATATGTTACAATCCATAATGATAAATAACATCTGTATAGTATTTCACCACTACTCCTAACATGTCCAAAATCATACTTGAAAAAAAAAAAAAAAGAAATCAGCCGGGCGCAGTGGCGCAGGCCTGTGACCCCAGCAACTCGGAGCCCGGGGCCTCTTCCTGGTTTCAGAAGCGCCTCTCCCTTCGAGGGATGGCCTTGCCTCCTGCCTGTCGGCTCTCGGGGTTTCTGACCAGGCCTTAGGTGTTCCACCTCCAGGGGCCACCTGGCTCCCTTCTCTTGTCCTGGATCTGAGCGTAAAGGCTCGAAGCCTTCCCCACTCATATGACACTGCCTGCAAGTCTGCTTAGATGGCCTTTGTCATGATGAAGTTTGTACCATGAAGGTATGTGGGATCTTGTCAAACACTTCTTCCTGTACCTGTTGAGATGATCATATAGCTTCTGTCCTTCATTTTGTTGCTCACAAAAGCTAAGCTATGGAACAAACCCAGAGGCTCATCTAGGAAGAATCAATAAAGAGAATGTGGTACACAATGGAATATTATTTAGCCTTAAAAAAACATGTGTCCTCCCAGTTGCAGCTAAGTGGAGGAACTGGAGGACGGTGTGTTACGTGAACTAAGTCAGACACAGGAAGACAAGTACCTCATGATCTGCCTCATAGGTGGCTGCTGAACACAGCCATCTGAATGTAGGATAAAGACTGGGGTGGAGGCAAGTAGGCTGCTGGGTTCAGATGCACAGGTAGGAGTAAACGCTATTGTTCTGTGGCAGGTGGGGTGACTGCAGTTCACAATGGCCCTGGTATATTTTAGGAAGAGCCAGGAGAGGAGCCGAAAGGCTCAGAGGCTGAGTAATGCTTGGTGGGGTGGAAACGCTCACCATCCTGGCTGATCATTGCACACCGCATCCAGGTGTTGAGTTCTACGCTGTCCCCCACGAATGGCACAATTAAATAATAATAATAAGCAAACAATTTTTTAAAAAAACAAAGTGTTACAGAAACAATTTAAAAAGGGATTAGTAGGAAAAGCTTATCGGGGCTCCAGAAACCCAGCAAGGGGGCTCCTGCAACCTGGTGCGCTGACCGTGTCCTCGTCCTCCGCTCCCAGGGTTCACATTACCTTCTCTTTCGAGGACAGCGTGGGGTGTACGAACTTCCTGTACAGGAGGCTGGAGCCTTTTGTGTAGGGGGACAGCAGCCAGGCCACAAATGCAATTTTCAGTTCATAGTAGAATGGGAACCTGGGGAGATGAGAAGATGCGCCTCCATTAGGCTCCCAGCAACTCCAGGCTGGGCACGTGGACACCTCAGCCCGCATGGGGAGGCCAGTCCCAGCTCCTCCTCTGCCCACGAAAGGCCTGCGCACATGCACCCATGGCTCAGTCTCCTGGGTCACGAGCCCTCCACGGGCTGCGTGTGGGTCACCGCACATCGAGCCTAATGGATAGGAACATCTGGTGTCTGGGAATGACCAGTGGACATTCTCTCTGTGAATTTCTATCCTGCTCTGCTGGGGCCCACACAGCACCTGAGATGGATATGACCTGCTGAGATGCCAATCAACCTGCTGACTGACATCACAAATCAAGACTCACCCTTGGAACTTTGCCCCTGCCCTTGATGTCCTCCTTAAATAACCCTCCAGAGCCATCTTTCCTTGGTCTTGTTCTAGCACCCACGGGGACTGGATGTACAGGGCTCCGCTTTCATAAATGTATTTCTGATTCTTTGTATTTTGTTCTTCACTAATTATTTTAGACTTCCAGTTTCCAGGTGGTTTACGCCCTCCTCCTGTTCTAGGGATCTCTGAGCATAACTAACGACTTCCTTCCTGACAGTCATCTCCATGTCTCTGCGGCTCACCACACCTGATTTGAACAAAACATGATGCTATGTTGGGGTCACCTGTGACAGTCTGAGGGGTCAGATAGGTAAGTCCTCCGCAGGTACCTGCTCAGGTAGGGGAGCCCCCTTGAGCCACACCCCACCCCTTATTTTATTTTGAGACGGGGCCTTACTAAGTTGCTGAGGCTGGCCTTGAACTTGCAATCCTCCTGCCTCAGCCTCCCAGGATGCTGGGATTCTAGGTGTACACCACCAAAAAGGAACAATTCCTAACAAGTCGCTTTAGGCTCTGCTCACACAGAATACCCACCCCAATCTGCAGCTCCACCTTCTCCTCCTTTCCTCACTAAGGTCCCGACCCCTCTGCTTTCTATAAGGTCTTCCAGAATATTCCCTCAGCAATGAGGGGGCACTTTCCTGGCAGGATTGTTTCATGTTTCTTGCCCAGAAAAAGGAAGCTTTGAAAGAACAGCGTGACCACCTCCCTCATGACCACCTCCCCCCCAACCTCCCCTGTGACCACCCCCCACCTCCCCCTGACCACCTCCCCAGGAGTGCCCTGGTGATCAACAATGGAGGAACCTTGGAAAACAGTCTTTGCAGGCCCAGAGAGAGCCGGTAAGTCTGAGCTCAGGCACCACACAGGTCACACAGCAGCCCAGGGGCACCTATAATGCTACAACTCTTTCATTTATTATGTAAAAGAAGTAGGTCGGGCAGCACAAAGCTAAAACCAAGCCAAAGGCCCAGGAGTGTGGGAGGAAGAGTCTCCTCCCATCCGACCCCTAGACCCCATCCCTTGACCCTTTCCTAAGTGAGAACATCCCCTGCTAGTGCACCTTTAGGGGTACGGTGCTGGGCAACACAATCACAGGTGTGAAGACTCCCTTACCTGCCCTCCAGGAGCCCTCAGCCTTCCATATGCCCCCTTCTACACAGCACCCCAGCAAGCACAGTGGACAGAGGCCCTGGGGCGCCTCACACAGCCCTGTCTCAATGGCTGAGATGGACGGTCTTGGGGTGGCTGGGTCTACAAAGAAGCTGCGAGCAAGCCTCCTGTGCTTTATGTTTTTTTAATGAGATTGAACCAGGGGCACTTTACCACTGGGCCACATCCTCAGCCCTAATTTTATTTATATATATATATATTTTTTTCCCCCATTTTAAAATTTGTTTTAATTAGTTACATATGACAATACAATGATCTTGACATCATACATTTGAATCAGGTGGGAAATAATTTTTCATTTTTCTGAGTGTACAGGTTATATATATATATATATATTTTTTTGTTTTGTTTTATTTTTTTCATTTTAGTTGCTTTTTTTTTGTTTTTTTTTTTTTAATACCTTTATTTTATTTTTATGTGGTGCTGAGGATCGAACCCAGGGCCTCCAAGTGCTAGACAAGCGCTCTACCACTGAGCCACAACCCCAGCCCCTATATTTTTAAATGTTTATTTTTTAGTTGTAGTTGCACCCAATACCTTTATTTATATGTGGTGCTGAGGATTGAACCCAGGGCCTCACACATGCTAGGCGAGTGCTCTACCACGGAGCCACAGCCCCAGCCCCCCTAATTATATTTTGAGGTCTCCCTAAATTGCCCAGGCTGGCCTGGAATTTGTGGTCCTCCTGCCTCAGCCTCCCTAGCGGCTGGGATTACAGGCGTGCACCACCATGCCTGGCTGGTATGCTTCTCTACACAACATGTGAACAAATGTGCAGCCCGAACGCCCGGAAGAGGAACTTCTGCATGAGCTTATAGTCAGAGGAAGCCCCTCTGTGTAGCTATGAGGAAGAGCACCTGATTCCCACAGCCACGCCCTCATGGTATATGGCCAACCCTAAGAGCCCGTGCCTAGGCTGCGAGATTAGGGCCTGTGGGACAAGATTGCGAAGTGCTTTTGAGCTGCTCAGGCCCCATTTAGATCCTTTCAATACATATTCTCACTTGTGTGTGCGTCCCAGCCCTTTAACCATAAAGACAGGATACTAGGCACCACTCACAGCCCCTTCACCTAAGATACAACACATCAATGCAAAGAACTGATGATTTTTAATTATTTCATTGCTAAGCATAGCTGTATTGCTTATAAAATAGAAACCAAATTAAATATCCACCAAAAAGACATTTGTAGCAGAGTGCAATCCTCCTACCTCAGCCTCCGGAGCCGCTGGGGTGACAGGTGGGCACTACTGCGTCCCCTGTTTCTTTTTTCTTTTCTTTCGACATATAAATCCTCTACCCAGTGCATTAATTGGGGGAACTGGGCCTGTATTGCCCATATCCCTAGCACCTTGGACAACACCTGCTCTTGAAGGTCATTCAATAAATATGTACTTGAAGAACAAATTTTATAGACCTCGTCATCAAAAGTAATCCAATTAACAGGCCTGCACCTGCACCAAGGTTTGGATTTCAGCCCTGACTCCCCTTCCCTCCCCTCCTCCCGCCTCCCACCAGGCAAAACAGTCCTGGAAATGTCCCCATTCCCAGAGTCCTTACCAGCACAGGAAGATATCTGTGAATGTCTCTGCCGTGGTGAAAAGTGCGAATATGATCCAGTACATCATCCACTTGACCTGCAGGGAGACAGCACAGAGCTAGGAGAAAGGGCAGGTGTTGGTGGCGCCCCTGTCCACTCCCCACCCCTCCCAGCTCACGACCAGCTGTACTCCATACGCTGGGGCTAGAAATGGGGCCTATAAATGGCCCTCCCACAGCCGGCCAGGCTCAAGGTCAGATCCAACCCTGTTAGACCCTGGCGGCCTTTCACAGCCTCAGGTGAGCAGGGAGAGACCAGGAGTGACCAGGCTACAGCCTGGCCCTTGTGCCAGGACTACCATCTGGTAGTCCAACACCATAGCCTCCACAGTGATGCCCCAGGATGGACTTATACCAGGCCAGGCATCCTCAAGGGTCATTTAGAACCCTTTCTTGTGGGCAGGCCCCAGGGCCACTGCAAGACTGTTCAAGTTTCTCCCTGATGACGTCCTTTCTCTCTCCTCTGCCCCTCTCCCTCTGTCTTGAGCTCCTGCAAAATGCCTCTGAGTGCTTCCTTTGCTGGCTGGCTCCCCTGTGGCCCCTTCCCCTTCAGCTCTGTGCAGTGGCCAGGGCTGGGCTGACCTCCTGACAGCTGTTGCTGAGCCTCAGCAAAACCCTTCAAAACCACTACTTGAAGGTTCCCGAGCAACGAGGCAGAGGCAGAGAGGAGGGGCCAGCCCTGGGGGAGCCATGAGGGAGAGCCCCGCTGGAACTCCTGAGGACAATCCAGGCCGAGGCCGGGGACTCAGCAGCCTGTTGGGTGAAGACTGGAGAATGGAGTGTGAGGCCCAGAGTTGTCAGAGTAGAGAGGAGGAAATCCCAGAGTCGGGAGGCCCCCAAGTCTACATGTAATACGCCTTCAAATACTTGGCCGGCTCTTGAGTGGCACAGAACCAATGAGACTCCAAAATGTTTACTTTGGCATTAAAGAAACAAGCAAATCAATGGAAAGCTGAAGGAGTTGGGCAGGAATTCTCTTTCTCTTCACTGCAGGAGAAGCACGCGTGGAGTTCAAGTCTTGTCTCATTGAGGGACCTAGGCAATATTTTGGAAGCTCTCCTGAGACATCTGGGGGCCAATGTTAGGAATAAAATTTACATGTCAGCACTAAGGGATCAGCTCTTGGACTAAAGGCAGAACTGAAATACAGATAAGACCTGCCCCAGGGTGGAGGGACCCCATCACACCTGGACTGCCTGCTTGGCACACTCACTTTCCACAAGAGGGCAACAGATGGTTGAGTTTCTATCGTGTGTCCTACAGGAAGCCCAGCACAATAAAAATCCCCATGGGCAAAGGGACAGGAAGATACGACCCCAGTATGAGAGAAGTGTCCACAGAAACAGATCCATAGATGACCTAGATGTCAAAACTGTCAGGCAGCTTTTAAAAAGATAAGAAAAGAGAAAAAGGAAGAGAAGGTACAAAGGGCCCCTATTTATCAAAAAAGCTGAATCAATAAGGAATAAATCTGGGCAGGGCCATCAGGCAACGGTAGACACACACACAGCATGCGCCAAGGCCTGGGCTCCGTCCCAGCACCAGGAGACGGAGATGAGACAAACAAAACCCCATAGCACAGCAGCACAACAGAACAGAGAGTGAACCTCACAACCACGGTGACAGACAACCTAACAACCCGGTGACAGACAACCTAACAACCGGTGACAGACAACCTAACAACCGCGGTGACAGGTTGTTACAGGTAAGAACTGCCCCAGGGTGGAGGGGCCCTGTCACATCTGGAATGCCTGCTTGGCACACTCACTCTCCACAAGAGGGCAACAGACAGCCGTGCGTATGAGTACAACCACAGTGACAGACAACCTAACAACCATGGTGACAACCCAACAACCACGGTGACTGACAACCTAACAACCACGGTGACAGACAACCTAACAACAGCAGTGATGGACAACCTAACAACCGCGGTGACAACCTAACAACCGCAGTGATGGACAACCTAACAACCGCGGTGACAACCTAACAACCATGGTGATGAACACTCTCGGCAAAGTGGGGAGAGGGAACCTGCCCACCTTGATAACAAAATATCTACCAAAAGAAAGAGAGAAAGTCCTGTGACAAACCCATCCCCGAGGTTGAGGAAACAGGCCGTGGCCCTCAAGACCCAGGGACAAGCGAGGCTTTCTCCCCTGCCACTCTCAGGCCATGTCATCATGGAAGTCCTTGGGAATGCCACAGGCTCTGTAGGAAACCAGAGAGCTGTCGGGAACCCTCCAGGACTAGGGCACTGAGGGATGGGTCAGGACACTGTGCACTCCCCTCACCTCCCCATGCAGCAAGGAGCAAGGGCAGGGCCAGGAAAACAAGGCCATCTCCCCCTCCCTGAGTCCCTTGGGAACACAGCTAAGGACACCTGTTGAAAGGAAGTCCACATGAGGAAAGCTAGACACCCCGATGAGAAACCAGGCAAACACCAGGAGGACCAGTGGCAGGAAATCCCTTTCTGGACAGTGGTCAGTTAGGCTTCTGCAGCTTACCTGCCCTGCCGTCAGCCGGCCTGTCCCCGCCTACAGGGCACATGGCACCCCCTAAGCACAGGGTTTCCACCCCGTAATTCTTAAAGGGGTGCCAGGGACTGCTGGTGGCTTCACCCCTGAAGAGCCCCAAAGGCCAAACTGTTCGGCGTCCCTCTGCCTGACTGGCCGCTTCTCGGGCTCTTTACCCCTTGCTGGGGGCTTTCTAGACCGCTGACCTACCTTAGACCAGGCACCCTTCACCTCCAGCTCCCCCTGACCCCGTCTTCTCTCCACCCACGGGCTGGCCTCACTTAGACCTGTCTAGAATGCGGCTGCCCCTCATGCTCTGCCCTGCCCTCCTTTCCACCCTGCCCTCTCGCTCCAGGCACAGTGACCTGATCCCAGATGGGCGATCCTCTGGCCTAGCTCAACCCTCCAGTGGTTCCTTGTTGTGAAAAAACCCAAACTCCTTGCATTGGTTCTGAAAAGCACTGATGGCCCCGGCCTCTCGCTCCAGGCTCCCGCTGCACCCCTGCCCATGCCCACCCACTCCGCTTTCCTGAAGAGTGCCGCCTTCTGTCTCCAGGTTCACCCCTGGCCTCAGCCTCAGCCTCTAGGAAGTGCCTGGAGCCCAGGTGGCCCGTCCCTCCCCCAGTGACCCTCTGGCCGTCCAGTGCTCACTGAGCCTTGCGAAGGTGCCTGCTGTTGCTCTGCTGCTCTGTGGACAGAGCTCCCCAAGGTGGCCAGCAGCCCTTCTCGCAAGTGGTTATGTCCCCAGAGCCTGCTCACTCCTCTGGCTCCTGGCACACAATGGGCACTGGGTGGACATGATTTTGATGTGGGCGTTGTGGGTGGGAAAGAGAAGATGGCTCCCAAAGGTGCACAGGGGGTAGGCATACTGGGAAACATGCCCTAACGGCTTTTGGAGAAGAAGACAGCTTGGAGGTGACCCATGCTCCCTGCCAGGGCCCCTGTCGGTGGCTGTGAGATACCCGCCAAAGCCGGGCACCAGTGATAGACGGACACAGTACCACCCAACAGAAGGTGAAGAAAGCCAATTGGGGAGAAGGGCGAAGGATGGACTGAGAGTCCAGAGGACACCCAGGGGGCCCAACAGGCCCCCGGAGGACAGACCAAGCAAGGAGGCTGAGCCCCCAGAAACAAGGAGCCATGGTGGGCTGTCAGCCTGGAGAAGCTCCCATCACGCCCCCCCCCACCTTAAAACGCTTCCCCCAAATAGGACCTGAGGGGTCACACGCAGCCCGACAGGGTGCCCCAGAGATGGGAATCGTGTTCTCCTGTGACCACCAGGAAACGGGTTCCCCAGTGGGCACTCCTGATGCTTGGGCCTCTGTGGCCTCACTTGACAGCAGGCAGCCCCCTCCCAGGGACTGACAGCATGTGGAAGTAGCAAGACTCGTCCCGTGTGCACCCTCCACACACAAGAGCCCGTCCAGGGCCATCCTCTCCACTGCCTCCATCGGGTGTTCACCGGTGGAGCCTGTGTCCACAGCCACCGCCACTGGGGCCACGTACCAGCTGACATGGCTCCCCGCTGCTCCTCAGTCTGCCTCCCTCTACCTTCCCACAGAGCCTCATGGAGGGGGCCACGCCCAGGCCCCCCTCCCCAGCACAGGGGCCAGGGTCTCAGGGAGGGCCCTTCTCAGTGTTGAACCCCATTCGTTGCTTCTCGCCAGGGGCCTCCTCCGAGCACAGAGATGGGGTGACAAGGTGACACTCTGGGGAGCCTCTACTCTTGTGCACCCCACAGCCTGGCCCTGAGGCGGGGAGCCCCACGGAATGCTCGGCCTCTCCTGGGTGGGCATGCTGTCCTGGGTGCATTTCTTCTCTGACTCTGTCACCGACACATGGCCCTGCTTCCTAGCCAGGGCCTCCAGGCTCAGGAACCAAGCTGCTAGGGCGACCTGTCTCCTAGTTCAGCCCAATGGCAGCTCCTCGCGGCTCACAATGTGGTCCACAGAGCCATACCACCTGCACTGCCTTAGAGCGCTTCGGATGTGAGAGTGTGCCACTCACCAGGACCCTCTAGACCAGGGCTGGCGTCTGACGGGATCCTGCTCACGCACACAGGCTGAGGTCCAGCTCACCCATGGCACCCTTGCCCTCACCTCCAAATCTCTGACACTGCTTTTCAGTGGCTTTATTACCTGAGAGGTAGCTGCATCCACCAGGAGTACGAGATGGTTCGAACAAAATGTCACCTGGCCACCTCAAGACACTCACTGGAATATAGGTACAGGGCAACCTGCAGGCTTCAATGCAGTGACAATCCTGATTGTCAGGGGGACCAGGGTAGAGGGACTGGGGGTCCACTGTGGGGGCTCCTTTACTGTCCCCATTGGAGGTGAAAGTGGTGGCTCATTGCTGAACCCTGCGGAGGCAAGATCACAAGGCCTTCGTTCTCACAGTGTGCACAGAGAGCCCTCTCACCAAGTGCCAACCAAGGCCACTCGGGCATGAATAGGGTGACAGAAGAGGGAAGGGCCAGGGGAACCCGGGGAGGGGAAGGCATGGATTCTGTGGAGTGCAGGGTACCCAGCACGAGCCTTGAGCATCCTGATTCTGCAGGGATCTGGCGTGTTAACCCGAGCCCCTCTGAACCACTTTACACCCTATGGGTCACCACAATAATTAAGGAGTTCAGGAAAATCTTCAACATGCCCTTATTTTCATTTGTCTGAGAATCATGATTCATCCTTTAGAAATCATCTTGAAAGCTAGATTCCAACACTGCTATAATCTCCTGACCAGCTTCGTGAGTATGGACTGCAGCGTTTACCTTCTCCCTTCCCATGTTCTGCATCACTTAGTGATCCTAACTCATGTACTTTGTGCTCTCTCCCACAGGGCGCTGGCCATTCGGACACAGGGGAGGAGGGTGTGGTGCACAGCTCCCCAGGACACCCATACCCAAGCCCTACGAGGTGGCTGCGAGGAGTAGCTAAAGCCTCCCGAGGGAAGGGTGTCCTGGGCCCCAGGTAATCACACGTCCTTAGAAGAGGAGAAACGTCCTGGCTGGTCAGAGGGAGAAGGGATGTGGCAGAGCGCCCAGGGACACGAGAGGCTGGCTCTGGAATGGGGACCAGCAGCCAAGGGTGCAGGTGGCCTCCAGGAGGTTTGGAGGTTGGACCCAGGTTTCTTGCAGAGTCTGCCAAGGAGGCAGCCCGCCTGACAAGGCCCAGAAGAGGCTGCACCTGCAGACCCTGCAGGGGGTCCCTGGTGACCTGCCACCTGACGGGGAAATGGAGACTGAGCCCTGCAGGGACTTGGGAGGGGCTCTGCTGAGCCTGGGAGCAGGGAACAGGAAGAGCTGGAAAGGCCAGGGCAGCCCAGGGACAGTCACCAGCAGGGAG